CGTCTTGATTCCATTTAGACGCAAACTGCGTTTTAGACGTAAAACTGCGTTTGGACGTAAATCTGCGTTTAGACGTAAAACTGCGTTTAGACGTAAATCTGCGTTTAGACGTAAAATTGCGTTTAGACGTAAAACTGCTCAAACTGTGTTTAGACGTTTTAGACGTAAACTGAGTTTAGATGTAAATCTGCGTTTAGACGTAAATCTGCGTTTAGACGCAAACTGCGCTTAGACGCAAACTGCGCTTAAATGCAAACTGTGTTTAGACGCAAACTGCGCTTAGACGCAATCTGCGCTTAGACGCAAACTGCACTTAGATACAAACTGAGAATTAGCTTTTGCATCATAATAGTTTTTATTGAACGAACGCGGCTTTTGGTTTTAAATCGCTGTAAGTTTTCCGCTGCACTAATTCACCCCCCCCCCTCTTAGTGCTCTCGATCCTAACAAATAGAAGAAACATCTTTATTAAATTTAAAATCATTGTCAACAATAGATAATTTGATCATTCCCTCGGAATAGCCTTTTCCAATAAAAGTTCCATTACGGGATAGAATTAATTTCTCTGATTCAAATATAGATTTAATTACATGTTTGCCAAGGAGATTCCCACTCAATAAATTTCTACTCATATCCGGTACATGAAGAACATTAATAAGAGTGACTTTCTTACCCGAAGTGAAAGTGAGTTCCATATTTCCCTTGCCATTCACCTTAGAACGAACTTCATTTTCCATTTGAATCTCTTGCCCTTCTGTGACTTCTTTGTAAGTCTTGAAGAGTGCCTTATCATAGCAAACATGGATGGTAGTACAAGTGTCATACCACCAACCAGAATCTTTACCAAATATGGCATTTACTTCGCTCACCGTAGCAATTATATTATCATCTTCCTCAATGTAGTTGACTTCCGATTTTTGGCCCTTTTTAAATCTGCAATCCTTAGCAAAATGACCAGGTTTTCCATAAACAAAATAACCTCCACTCTTTAGCTTCTTAAATTTTCTTTGATCCCTTTTGGGGCTAAAATGATTTTCCTTGTTTTTGTCTTTGTTCGAATTCTTAGGTTGATTCATAATATTTATTTTTATATTACCAAAAGAGTTCTCGCTCTTGTCTCTCATCCTTGATTTCTCCTCGATTCGAAGATGTTTTTGAATTTGCTCGAAAGTGATATTCTTGGAGTCATGCAAAATCTTCTTCCTATACCCTTTCCAAGATGAAGGCAACTTAGCTATTACAGCCCCTACTTGAAAAGGTTCAGGAAGTTTAATTTTTTTAGCCTTCAATTGATTAACAATGACCTACAACTAATGCACTTGTGCCAAGATTGGCTTGTCATCCACAAACTTATAATCAAAATATTTAGAAATTAAAAAAAAATTTGTACCTTCTCCCTTGGCATGATACTTGAATTCCAAAGTATTCCAAATTGCTTTTGAAGATGGTTCCACTGTATAAAGATCATAAAGGCATATAGAAAGAGCATTGAGAATGTGTCCTCTACACATGACTTCATCTTCATTTCTCTTCTTTTGTTTAGCCTTGACTTCATCGATGTCATCATCGGTTGGATCAGGAATTGGTTAAAGATTTGGATCAAGTACATAGAAGATCTTCAAAGCAGTCAACATGAACTTCATCTTGTCTTGCCAACGGGTAAAATTCGTTTTATCAAAACGATCCAAATGAACAAAATCTTGATTCAATAATTTGATGGTATTTGTAGCCTCCATGGTGAATTTGTATAAACTCACAAAATATCATTTTTAGATTGTTGGAAAAATACGACAAAGAAGATGATAAAAACACTATGGAAACAAATAATAAACACAAGATAAAGAATACTATAGGAAATATATTTAAGCTTGAAACGTGTATAAACACTTTCCTAAAAAAATGATATTTGTACCCTCTTCTCAATAAGATTGCTATGTGTTTGATGTAAATAATTTTAGTGAATATGATAAGTCTTTATAAGATTTGTATTGATCAAACAATAAAGAATCTTTAAAGAGGAATCAAGAATGTCTAATTGTAAAGAAGAAGAGTATAAAAGAGATGTATACATTATTTACCCTCAAATACTTATTTATAGATATTTTTCTCAAAAAATATAATCTTTCAAAAATAACTATCAAAATAATTAAAAAATATATATTTTCAAATAAATCTTTTGAAAAGAAATTTTTTTTCTTTTTAATTTGAACAATTTATAACAGACAGTTCGCTTGACATCTTGTAAGCCGTCACGGAGTCGTATACGTGGGCTGTATGTGCTAAAGAAGACGGGCATCGCCGATGATGATGGTGTGCTAAGTAGATCGAGCAGTGGACGATGTGTGCGACCCGTTCCAGTGCTGCAGCACGTCCTCCCACCGGCAAAACTTCTCGAAGCACAGATGCCGTCTGGGATCGGTCACGTTGCGGCGCCAGTGCTGGTCGGGGAAGTTGGCCTTCTCGGCCTTGTGCCGGTTGTACTCCAGCCCGGCCTTCGTCACCGTGGACAGCAGGCAGAAGCGTTGGAGGCCTTCCGGCATGCTGTCGTGCACGCGCCACCACGTCGCGTGGGCTTCGTCGCTGGCGAAACTCCGGTAGAGGACGGAGTTCCAGTTGCAGTCGAAGTCCCGGAAGCAGAGCCATGGCTTCAGCCCCAGGTAGTGCAGGACGTAGAGGCCGGGCGTCTCGGCCGCGAATAGCCTCGTCTTCCTCGCCTTCACGCTCTGGCTGTCGCCCTCCCAGAAGTGCTTCAGGAAGTTCATCTGCCTCGGGATGCGGTGCCACCACGTGAAGATCTCGTTGAGGTATCCCTGGTCGCCACCATTATAAGACGTGATCTCGTCGATGTGATCCATCAGCAGCTGGAAGGTGCAATTGGAGGGCTCGACCACCATCACGCCGGAGTTGAAGATGGTGGCGTTGTTCCCCGTCGCGGATATCTCCGGCATCTTGAACAGGAAGTCGATGTTCCTCAGGATGAGGAGGTCGGCGTCGATGAAGATGACCTTGTCGTAGTCGGTGAGCTGCCACAACCGGAACTTGCTGTAGTTCCACTCGTTGTACGCGTTCTTCTCCGCCTTGGGGTTTCGGATCCGTTGGATCGTTCTGACCTTCCATCCTGCGGCTTCGAGGCCGCCCAGGTGGTGGTCGCTTATGGATTCGTCGACCAGTATGACGAGGTCCCTCGTCGACCCCGCCAAGCGGATGCTCCGAGCCACGGCGATGGCGCCGCAGACGTAGACCTCTGCAGAGTGCAGTATCGTCGCATATGCTTCTCTCGTTCCACTCCCAGTCTGTGGCCGCACTGCAGGGAGAAACAAGCAGCTCCGTCAAGCTTCCTTCAATTTAGGCTGACGAAGATGATCGAGTAGCTGACCTCGTGCTTTCAGTGGAACAGCGAGTTCGCATGACCCGATCGGAAGCTGGAGCTTCTCCCTCAACGTCGCTACGCTGGGCTTGTACAGCCAAGCGGTTCCTTCTCTTCTGACGAGGTCTCTGAAGATGAACAGGTTGGGGATCGGGAAGCACTCGGTGACGAAGAGGACATGGACCGGGGAGCGTCCTGCTGCGGCGAGTTTGGCTGCAGAGAGCTGCAAATGCAATCTGGCAACGTCTCTCGACCAGCTGCCTGACCTACGGCAGGGCAGCTTAACAGCGACGACGTCGAGTTCTAATCCATTCTTCACTCGGGGCTCAGGAAGCGATGGACAGGCAGGCACTTCGTTGTCTTCTTCCTCATCGATCCACTCCGGGTACAGAACATTCCAAGTGATGCTCGCGTCGGCGTACTCAAGGTGGACGCCGGAAAACTCAGCATTTGGCACCGCGCGCCGCCAGACGCCGACCTCGGTGAAGTTGAAGTTGAGCAAGCCGATCTTGAGACTATGCTCTGTGCCATCAACACTTGGCAGAGCGCTCGATACTTGTTGCCAATCGACACCCGTATCTGATACGTATCGAGGATCTGACGATGTGTTCTGCCAAATCGACCCAACGTCCACAAATCTAGACCTGGAATCGGACTGCTGGCGATGCTCATTGCGCTCTGTTGGCGAGTAGAGGAGGGTTAACACCGTGCAACATGTAATGACAAAGAGGGCCAGTTTCAGGGAGTGAAACTTGCAGCTGGAGAACACGATTCTGTACTTGTCTCCGAGTTTGTGATGCTTCAACTTCATCTTTCTTTTGCTTGTGTCGTCGCTGCACCAGAAAACAAATCCAAATGGAAGCATCAAGATGAAGAAGGCCATGGCACAAAAGATACAAGAACAAAAACAATTTGTCATCCCGTAACTAAACAAAGGCAGCATGTGTAGATAAGGATCTGATGTACCCTCTAAATTGGAAGTATGCTAACTTCCATTTCCACCATGACCATCGAAGTTACCAAACAAAAAAGAACGATTAGGCTTACAGCTGAAGCTTAAATGAACAGAGAAGAAGACCTATATTTCGCAGTGCCTCATTTGAAGGAATCTTCCTTTCCATAGTGCATGTCCCTCTCATCCTGTCATTCTTGTCCAGCTAAATTAAATGGGTGGGTGGAAGAATTAAATGGGAGGATCGATAAGAATGAAAGATGATGAGCGTTGATGACACAGTGAAATTACTGATTTACGATACGAAAGACCATGATTCGATGCGTTCATTCCGTGAAGGTTTGCGAGTGAGAATTCTCAAGGTTTGGGGATTCCGGAGGAGAAAGAAAGACTACAGCCATACTTGAACCTCAGTTCAGGCAAAATTAGTCAGTCAATGTTTCAGACCAGACTTCGTTGCTATTCCCAAGTCTTCTTTCGGATTTGCTCATTCATTTTCCGTGTTTTCTGGGTAGAATTTCTTGGTCAATCTTGAGCGCCCATGGTTACGATCAAAAGACTTCTTCAAAGCAAAGCATAGGAGCTCATTCTCCTCGTAGCAAATCCTTCTTCTCGTGTATTGAAGAACACGTACAGAGAAGTTTCGGATGAAATAGAAACCATAAGCGCTTCTAAGATGAGCACAACATATGAAGATACAAATCAGGTAAAACGAATAGAGCAACAAGACCAAGAACTCAGTACTAACCAAGGAAACAGACGGAACCATCAGGCACGAGAGAGAACAGTATCAGAGGAACAATTTATAATGGCTTCTGCACCGAACCAATAAAACCAGGAACAAGTAGCCAGGAAAAGAAGACAAGGTTGTGGCCAGTGCATACCGTGCTTCGTGGAGGCTGGGGGATGTAATGGTTAGCCCTTTCATATCGATCGGTGGGACGCAGAGGAAGGTTTCATCTGCTCTCCCATCAACATAAAGAAGAAGAAGAAGAAGAAGAAGAAGAAGAAGAAATCATTCTTATGATGACCACTGACCACTGTTGGCGCAACCACAAATAGGTGCAATCTGAGGGTCTTCAGACTGCACTGCAGCATGGAAGGAAGACAAAACCACAATTAGAGAGAGGGAGAGAGTAAAGAAAGATGTGGTTGGCAACTGCAAGAAGGAACTGTTCCACTGGCAATCGATTATGGTGGTAGACCAAATTAAAAGAATATAAATGGGAAAGAGAGGCAGGTTGACAACTCATTTCATGGGAAGAAATAGTCCAACAAGTACATTAATGCCAACAGATATCTGTTGGAAATCAATAAATTATAAGCTATCAACCTTCTGGTGGTAACAAAGCACATTAAACAGTGATAGCAAATTTGCAGTAGAAACAAATTAAGTCTGAAAAAGAAGACAATGTCAGTTTGGTCAAATCTTATCGTAATCTTCGTGCCGTCTCTGAAGACTTATACCGAAAATTCGCATAAATAATCTTTCTTATACCGAAAAATAGTAATAATAGATAACTTTGAATGATATAATCATTCTTTTTAAGAAAAAATATATATATCTATCTTTTGTATTTAGCTCAATATAAATAAAGAATCGGGAAACAGACCTACATGTTCTTCTTTTTCCTGATTAGACAGACCACTGAATCCGAAGCCAGTTTCTCAAGATTCTTGTTGGGGAATAAATTAGTGAGAACTCCAAAGCTTAATAATTTGGAGCACATGGGAAAGGATGATAAATAATAATGGGAAGAGAATCTAAAAGATGTTCACATCTTGAAAAGAATAAGAGTGTAGGAGATAGGAAGAATTGGTAGCATTTGATGCTAATTTCAATCAATTGTGTAAGACTCGTCCGCGAACAATCCAATAGCTCTCTATTATTGTTTTTCATGTAGCCTACACAAGAATGGTTTGACTTGACAAAACTTGGAGAACTTTGTTGCTCATAAATGTGATAAAAATATATCCATCCAACCAATCATACCTCTCTCTCACTCTCGTATAACATTTATACCACACTGACTTCATATTCTATAAACATCCTAAGGGTTAAGGAGGTACCACAATCGAATCGATTGATCAAAAGTTTTAGTCTCATCAGGCCAATTAACTCTCAACATGAGATGCAATTAACACGACTCAGAACATGTAGCAGCGCGTCTGTATATACATATTATATGATCAATTAAATTAATTGGCATCATCAAATTTTATTAGATATGATACGATGATTATGACATATATATATATATAGATGATTGTCTCGTCATATTCAATCTCATTCGATCAATGTCTACATGATGTCAACCAAGAGATCGAATGTCGACTCGGGGAGTTTACCATGTCATTTAAATGAGAAGTTGGCTCAATCGATACTAACCCTATGCCTTCCGTGTTAATCATTACATGATCGCAATTATTTTTGAAACCATTCTCGACATTTAACCGTTAACTCAAATGTAATAGTATCATATAATATTATAAAAGGCTCCTCGATACACTTTCAAACATATAAAGTATTACAGTACCATTTGATCGAGTCCTTAAAAAAAATATGACTTAAATTTTTTTTTTATCTAATATCATATCTATTGAAGTTAGACACGAAAGATGATCTAGATTAGATCCGAATCAACATCCATATCGAATAATCAAAATATGATTTAATAAGATGAAATTTAAAATCTTGAATCATAGATCTAATAATATCATATTAATGTTTTAAATGGAAAGTTAACGCAGTCGGTACTTACCCCCCATGCCTTTCGTATTAACATTTATTGTCGAAACCATTCTCGACATGTAATCATGAAATCAAATATAATAATAAAGCATCATAGTTCCATTGCATCTATATAAATTCTCAAGCATTAAAGAGATTATCGGTCTACCAGTACAGTTTTCGGCTCAAACTTTCTCTTGTTTGATCCCATAGCTAACTACATGTCAAAAAATCAAAATTTGATTTAACAAGATGAAACTTCAAAATCTTCGATCATTGATCTAACAGTATCATATTAGTGTTTTAATTCATTTGTTCAAGAGCATCGACAAATAATTAATCCCTGTGTTTCTTCCCTCCCCGCGGACACGTCGTCTTGGAGGCTTCTTCTCCTTTGTGTGACACGCTGTTGTGCGCATTGAATGCATGGAGTGAGTAGTCTTCGGAAGGCAATGCCTCGCTACATGCTAATCTGCTGCCTTAGTCTCCGTCCCGAGTACAAGTCATCGACTCGAGGAGTAGCGGACAAGTTGGGCTCCGGAGAAAGGTAGTGAGTTGTGTCATTGCCGTGGTCGTCGGTGACGAAAGAGCCATGGATTCATTCCCTTATCATGGTCGAGACAGGTCCCCCATCATAAAACTTAGACCTGGTTCGATTTGGATCGAAACCTAATTGGGTCAATGGTTCTAGAGTTTCGAATCGAACTGAAATCGGAACCATAACTAAAACCCATGATTCTAAACCGATTAAATAAAAATAAATATATATATATATATAATATAAATAGGCTGCATGCTAAAATGCTATGGAAAGTGTGTTTCGTGTCTTGGCCGTGATAGCGTCGAGGGCTTAGCCCTATCAATACTTGACCAACTAATGACAGTGTGTTCTTCACTTAGGCAAGGAGAAAAAAAGAAGAAGGATGAAATAAAAATAAATGGAAGTAAATGACATGGGGATGTAATGTGGAAAGGACATATTTCGTATATGAAGGAAAGAAAGTTCTTTGATGTTCTGGTCAAAATAAAGTCAATATTTTTTTGATAAGTTAACCTCCATTGATCTAAATGTTGATTCCCGGCACCCCAATTCCAAGATCCTAAATTCTTTTTTAGTAATATGATATTCATATATGTGATAAAATATTCGTATATTTCTATCGATTAATCATGTCATATAGTTTGAGTCGAACATTTAATTGTTTCGATTTGAATATTTTGTAAGATATCTCATACATAATAAAAAATATATATAATCAGATATATTTCTTCGTTCCATAAAAATCTGACAAATTTATCAAAAGTTGAAGTTTTAAATTTCACGCGACCCGATACGTTTTTTATGACATCTCATCGGATAATTTTGTGGAAAAAAGAAAATCATAGACATGAATAAAAAAAGAGTGGTAGTGTGCTCTTTGAATGGCTACAAGGAAACAATCAGTATCAATTTTGTAGGTATTGTTGAACCATAACCTCGACAATGCTGCAAACATCTTTTAGGATGGATGAGGAGTGTGAATCGAATGGGGTCATAGTGATGTTGAAGTAAACCAAATGACATTTAATGGAGCAAATCCATTCCCCTTGTCTCGTAGACCTTAGTTATGTCATTTGCTTGACTTGAAGACTTCTTCACCTAATGAATCAAATAGGGAGGTGAGGAAGTATGAGTCTGTCTTTTGGACCATTAGAGCACCAATGTGTGTGATCGAGGCATTGATACTAAATTTCTAGGTCTCTCTATCCATATATGTGGACCAATGTGACCAGTGATCATTAACGAATGATGCATGCCTAATAATTAATATTTCATCTACCTTGAGCTTGTTGAAACGTCGATATCAGTTTGTGTGTTTTGGAGCATATCTTAGCTACCATTAGGTAGGGTTAAATGGGCCTAAATCTATCGAAACATGAAGATACTTGTAAATTGGATAGGTTGGATTTATGGTCCTAAAAAGATTTACTGAATTGATGGAATTGAATCAAAATAATGTCATTCAATTCTGTAGCTTTCTGATGGAGATGCATAGGGCCATCAGAATACAGCATTCTTAGGCTGTAAAGCTACTGCTATCCTCCATTCAGTGAATGCTTTTGTGAATAGTGAAATTGTGCTTCTGAAGCTTTCTGATGCAGGTGCTAAAACAGAGAGTTGCCTTTGCATCGTGGATTACCGCTCGATCTTAGAAGTTTGGCTTTTCATTGTCTTCTACATTGTGCATCGACATTGGACCAGATTCTAATGGAAGCCAACATATGCATGTTTTACATGATGTTCAGGTTATTCGAATGAAATGCCTGTCTTTGTAAACCCTTTGCAAGCAACCTTAATCTCCTCATCAGGACTTCGTTAACACATAATTTGTCACTAATTCAAATATAAACTTGAAGAATCATTTTTTACCATCTCGATTAATTTGGATTACTAACGCTGCTATGCGACTATAAGATTTTTTTAATGCTTCTAATATATTTAAAAATAAAAAATTAAATTACTTGTTTGCTAGTGAGATAATGTACGCTAAGTGCTTTTTCATAGTGTAATAATGTCCATTAAGTTTGTCGATCGCTATCACTTTCTCACAAGAGATGTCGGTAAGGCGTATAGAGGTAGGGTCGACAGAGTCTGTGAAAGCCGCGATGGTCTTCGCATGAGGGTTGCGAGCAGCAAAGCCAAAAAGGGAAAGTTATTGCTATGGTTTAGAGTCCAAGAAGGGTTTAAGACTAGTGAATTTGTTTCGAGGAGGAGATGATGATGATGTAAGGTAGAGGTAGTAATGAGTTCTACAATAGTAGAGGTAAATAAAAGTAGGGATAAAATAATCTTTTCATAGGTAAGGAGTATTGAAAATTTTTAAAATTAAATGATTTTTTCGATGAGTCACCATATATATATATATATATATATATATATATATATATATATATATATATATGATGACGATGATGATGATGATTATTATTATTATTAAAAATAAATTCGCTTGAAAAGTTTTAGTATTTAATAAGGATGCATTTATTAGGTTTGAATTAAAGAGTAAATACAACTATTCAAGTATCTGTATTTTTATTTTTTTGAAATTGTCTTTGAAATAGATATTAACGTATAATATTATTTAATAATTGAAAATAGAATCGATTGAGGGTCCGATTCAATGGTTTTCCGGTCCGGTTTAATTGCTGTGCATACGACAACAGAGCCTCGACGTCTCTCCGCCATTCCCTCCCTTCCCCTCTATCGGAACCTATACAGCCGGGCGTGTCCCCTCGCCACCCATGCTTTGCGTGCAACCCTTTTGAATCTTTCAAGCCTCTCGAGAGGAGGAGGAGGAGGAGGAGGAGGAGGAAGAAGAAGAAGAAGAAGAACAAGAACAAGAACAAGAATAAGATCCAACTCTCTCAGGAGAAGAGCAAGAGGAGGGACGTCAGATGGGGGCAGATCCACCGTCGCAGACGACGGCATCTCGAGGAAGGGCCGCCGACGTGTGCATATGGTTCGTGTCGATCCTCTTCTTCCTCCTCCTCCTCGCCGGCGGAGCCATGCTGGTCCTCTACATGGTCCTTCCTGAGACGAGCACCACCATGTGGTTCCCGGCCGCCGGCATGATCCTGGTCGGCATCCCCTGGGCCTTCTGGATCATGACTTGCTTCTACAGGTTCATGTCGTGGAGGGCGCCTCACGACGACGCATCCCCGGCCGCCGCCTCGGCCCCTCCCACCACCAACAAGTAGGAGCTACGTCGCTGGCATCATCTCATGGGAGCCAAGTGCGCCGTCCGCTGTCTCCGTAACTCCATGCTCTCATGCAGTAATATGGTGTAAGAGCTGCCTGTCATTGCTGTTGCTAAACCTAATGAATGGAGGGGGCTTCTGATATAGTGTTGTGATAGCATCAATACTTCCATCTTTCTACCATCTCATATGCAGCAACCATTGAAATGAACAAACCATCTAATTCATCCTAATTAGGTCATAAAAAGTTCCTCTACTTTGATTTTTTATATCTCTCCTCTCAAAATATTCATGCCGTTTTAAATATTTCTCTTATTTATCTCTTATAACATTCTCATATTACTTATAATTTCTTTTAATTTAATGCATTATTGGGTTTATAATTATCTTCTTCTTTTTTAGTCCAAGGGACATACTTTTCTACCTTAACTTTCCTATTGTTATTTTAGTTGGATGTTTTTTGGTCCATATATCTTAATTACATATTTGATTCTTCCTCTACCATTCCTTCAATTTTAAATCAAATTCCATTTTGATTAAGATAATGCATCTTATATCTAACTTAGATTGGTGTCTACTAAATTAGTATTCTTAAAACAAAGATGATCACTAGCATCATGTTTAAAAGTGGGTATTTATAGATTTAAATATCACATAAACGGCTCAAAGTGGTAAAGAAAATGGTCCATCCTCACTCACCTCATCAGTCTTCAGGTTAAAGTAGTACGAAATTTTTATTTTTCTTTTCTCTGTAATGAATCAATCGATACTAATTTGATTATAAATTTTTTTTTAGATGCACTCTCTAATATAGTTTTTGTAAAGACTAACTATGATAAGATACACAAATTTCTTAATTTTGAGATAAATTCTTTATCGGCCGAGCTACGACTTTCGAGCTATATCTACTCGCGATAGTCTCCTCCTGACTATCTTATAGAAGCTAGAATGCTAAAAAATGATTGGGCAATCACTAATACCATCCAAGATATTCATGGAGTACTGTAGCAATTGAATTTATAAGATAACTCATATTTTTCGTGACACTTGATCGTTGCATAGAGTGGATTGAATCTATAACCTAAAAATTAAAGTTTTTGGGTTAAATTATTATTGGATTTGATACATATTAACTGATCAAGTTTGATTCAAACTCATAGATATTTGATTTTTTAACATGGTATCAAAGTTAAGCATATAAAATTTTTATACACATGCAACTCATTCTTTCATAGATTAACTTTGTTCCTTTCTCATCTTCATCTTATACATTAATATTCTTTAACATATCTCTTTATTTATGAATGGCTCAATCGTCTCCCCCTTTTTCGTAAGATATATCAAGTTTTGACTTTATTTTTAGATCTAGCCGTGATCAGCATTTAGCTTTCTTTTTTAATCTTTTTTTCTCATTCATTTTTTTCGAACTTTGATGTTGAAATTGATGAGTTCGAATCAAACTAACGAGGGTTAACATATCCGAGAAGCTGACGTCTTATAAATTGTGAATTAAACCAGTATATATATAGCTCGGTTCTTTTATAACTTAACAAGATGAGACTAAAAGATTATTATTTTAGTCCTCTATTAATCTCCACCTTACACATGAATGTTTTCTAATAATTCTGTCTTTGGTGCGATACTAAACTTCAAAAGAAGTTGACTGAATTCCATATTAAATTTTATAATTATTCCTATAGATTATAAATTATAGACACATATGTTTCCAAGTTGAGAATATGTTTCCTAAGTAAACAGTTGTAAGTTTTATATGTAATTGAATCTCCTGACATGATAATTACTGGAGAGCTTCTTGATCCGACATGGATCCTCATGATGAACACAGCCTCTGATCTGTCCTGGTTTTGTTTGTTCAATCATGATCAGATTTTGTTCGTGCTATCAGGTCTTTCTCCATTAAACCGGCACAGAAATGTGGTGGCCATCAGGTCTTCCACCACTTTTGAGGAAGATGCATCCTTCATTTGAATCCGTAGATAAAATAGGCTCGTCTTGGATTTCCACCACCTGCTTGCGAAGAAAATGACGTGCGGCATCGAAGGGGAAGGGGAAGGGGACCGATGATACCGATGGGGATGCGAGGCAGGTCGCGGTTGTCGAAGACTGCTGCAGCGTCGAGGTGGTGGGCGGGGCGGGGCGTGCCGGCGCCTACAATTGAAGATGTTGGGCAATCCAACAATTCTGTGGCCGTAAGGTGAGCACTCAACAAGCTCATGATTGCTCCGTGGACTGCCAGTTTCATCGTCCTCTTTCGACTTGTGCTAGTCAACGTTATCTTTTTTATTGATAATATCTAAAAGAATAATAACAAAAAAAAAAAAAAATCTATCGGAAAGACATGAATCTCTTATCAACTAAAAATAAATTTATTTTTTTCTCGAAATGATCATCATCAATAAAAAAGATTTCAAATCGTTTTCTCACGAGTAGAGTGATCGTCGAACTTAACATCGTCAATATTATTATTGGATCTTCGACACACATACAAGTGTAAGGAAGAATATTATAATAGGTTAACTATCATATCAACTTCGTTTGATCTAAATTATTAATTAAAATATTTAAATTAAAATTAATAATAATATATTTATCACATCTTTATATATAAGTTAATCTTAATATTATCTTTTTTTTTTTTAACGTAAGAGCAATCTCGTGCTCGGTGGACTCTTTCTTTGCCACCGTCCCTTCTTCTACTGCGGTGGACTCTTTGCCACAGCCCACTCGACCACTGTTTATAAGTGGAATCCCGCAAAAGTGATGATTTGACTGGAGAAACCGGACAGCCTGGAAACTGCTGTGGAGTTATCGAGACACACAAGCTTCAACTGTTTCCAGGATCTATAATGATGTGAACTGTGATCCTCAGGTTAGTCTCAACCCATCCCCGCGTGTGAATTTCTGATCTACTGATCACAAGCAGCAGTAATAGCTCGTTGATAGAATCCAAAGCATGCCTCCCACACTTTTAATTTTACTTTGTGAAACGTTTGGGCCACGGCGCTCGCCATTGGACCTCGGTTTGATGATGATGATGATGACAGAATAAATCTCAGACCAACATGGACAGTTTCTCTCTTCCCTTCTCCCAAAGCGTCACATATGGGAGGAGAATAATAGCAGGAACTACTGTTTCTGCGCAGGTGGAAGAGAAGATGTCTCTCTCCTCTGCTCTTTCTTGGTTTCGTTTCTGGTTTTCCGATGAGAGTAGCGGTGCAAGGTGCCACCTTTATGGCCTGGCGTTCTGTTAAGGGGAGAAAGGAGCCGTCTTTGGCTATCATTTGACCTCTGCTCCGGTGCGTGATTGAGAAGAGGGGAGAAAGGAGCCAGCCATGCCGGATGGGGTGGCCACGCAGGTGGACTGCGGCTCCCGGCTTTTCCTCGCGCTTCCGGACGACGTGCTGGCGCTCGTCTCCGCCTACCTTCGCCCCCTCGACCTTTGCGCCTTAGCCCTCTGCTGCCGCGGCCTCCGAGCGGCCGTCGCCTCCTCCGAGAAGGCTTGGCTGGCCCAGTGCCGCCGCCTCGGCCCGCCGGCCCACGCCTTGCCTCTCTGGCGCGAGGGCGTGCGATCTTACCGTGCCCTCTGCCGCTTCCTCGCCGCCGTCGCTCCCCTCCTCGGGGTGTGGGTCCACCAGAACCCCGAGCTCGGCAACGTGGTCTCCGTCCTCTGGGGCTTCCTCTCCGTCGTCGGCGTCCGCATCATTCCACAGGAGCTGGGGCCGCTGGGCCTTGACGCCGGTCCTCTGCTGTGGGCACCGGTGTTCGAGATCCTTGCCGACGCCGATGGAGCGCCCTCCTGCTTCTTTCTCCATGGCCGCGGCGATCACGGCGAGGACTGCCTCTACCCCGGCTCTGTCCAATCCATCGACCCCTCCTGCAACATCCTCCTTCTCGAGGTCGACGTCCGTCACAAAGATCCCGCCCTTCCACCGGGCACCCTTCATTTGCCCCGCTCCCAGATCTTCTCGGCCGTTTCTGATCGCAAAGATCCAACCTTGGGGAGGAAACTTCGTTGGTCGGATTCTTCCAACACCATCTCAAGTCCCTCGGCGGCACCTCCATCCCCTCCTTCTATCCCATTTAGCCGGCTGCCCTTCAGCGACCGCCGTCGGCTTCTGGATCAGGTGGCCGGGAGAGTCCGCCTCGAGATCCCCTTGGATCTTGCCACTGCTCCTCTTTTCGATCGGTCTCCTCCATGCGACGACGCCAAGCTGTTGGCCCGTCGATGGTCCGAACTCGTTAACATGCACAAGCAGATCAGCGGAGGACGCATCGATCGGAAAGCGGCCGAACTGGCACCAGGCTTGATCGAGCATGCAGCCACCACTAATGGGGATGTGATTAGCCATCACCAGATCACCGTCTCCGGCAAAAGAAAGGCCCTTGTCTCTGTGGCGGCGTACCTGAGAGATGGATTCAAACAATTCATGAGCAGGTCGAATTCTTCCAAGGTAGCTGGGTTGATATCAAGAAACGGGAATTCTTGGGCGAGCGCCCAGAAGAAGCATGCGCAGCTCCACCAGTTCTTGATGTCCGGCGATGCCGTCGGACTAAGCTTAAGAGCGACGCACATGAGGCTGACCGCGTACAGGGCGTGGCCCGACATGCATGACAACTGGTTTGCTCTCTACAAGCTCCCAATGCAGGTCCCATCTGCCTGCCACGAGCACGCCGGTCTGTGGGCTGGCACCTTCGGCTGGCCTCCGGGGCAGCCTTCCGAAGACAAGCCTGGGAAGGCCTTGTTCTTCTTGTTGCTGTCGTACGAAGAGGTTGAGGGGCGCCCTCTTTTGATCGCAACCAAGATATTGGAAGGAACCCACTATGTCCTCCACCCCAATGGTTCTGCAATGTTCATTGCAAACCTTGACGAGACATCGTCGGATGCATTCCCATGGGAGACGGACAGCGAACCTCTTCAAGTGGAAGTCGAGCAAAGCTACAGCGGGGAGGGCATTGCGAGTGGCTATGGATTTCGGTATCCTGGCTCTAAGCCTGGCTCTTTGTTTGTTCTCCAGAATGGGCTACTTGCATTTGTTTGGAAAGAGTCCAGATCTGTGTTGACACTGCAAAGGATAGACTTGCAAGAGCTTCTGAAGAGAGGAGA